TATCATTATTTATTGCATTCTTAAATTTATATATAACTGTCAAATATACAGGACAGTAGTCTTACGCGTTCATTTATATTCAAAATTATTGGAAAAGTAATAAGTTATATTTAAATAATTAAGTAACCTCAATCTTCTCTACAAACACTGAGAATTGGACATACAATATGCTTTAAACTAAATAGAGCCTAGCTTCGCTATTGTAACCTATCTGCGCCGGTATTACATCCGCCCAAACATCCGTTCAAAAACCCATTCGCCTTTGACGACGATTTTCGCTATCGCAGTCAGCTGCACACGAACGATTCACTTTGAAAATTCAAATCAATATTATATATTCAATATTAAACGTTTGACATCGGTGTTATATTATATCATGAAATTACTAAAGCTGTATAATACATACATACAATGATACAAAGCGGCATTCTCATCAAATTCAAATGTTCGATTAATTAAATTGAAATAATTGTTAAATTTGTGGGTTTTCATCCTTCAAAGCATAAACAATTAATAATATTTGAATGTTATTACATTGCTATCAATGACAGTTTGTATGAGGATTCATCATAAAGCCACTTTAGAGATGGAAATAATCAGAATATTAGTTCAAATATTTAGTAAAGCACAATGAAGCGTTTGGCTGAATAAACTCTAATATGAAGCCAAAGAGGACAACATTAAAATAAAAATTATTACTTCGCTTCATTTTGTCCTCAAAGTTCAAAGATTCTTGAAGAGTCGCCAAGAGGCATAACCATTTTTGGATAGGCTAATGTTCAAACTTTATGTTCCATACAATCTTTTTATATTCATAACTTGGACTGTGCATTATTGCTATGTTTTTAAGAGAAAAGTATTGCATCTAAATAATTTTTATAATTTTTTGTTTTTATTTTCTCTTCAAAAGCCTTTTTGTACATAATAAAATATCTTGCGAATGTAGAGAATTGCGGATATACTTCATATATTATTTGTTGATTGGACTCTTACCTCATAAATTAAATGAAAGTATTATCAAAATTACACAGAAATGAAGTATCATTTCTGTGTTATTTTTATAATCCTTCACTACTGTGAAATATGATATTATGAATAAAATAGAAATAAAAAATATTTATATATATCGTTCTTGTTCTATCCTGCCCTTTGAATTACATTTCATTTATTTGAGGTGGAGTTTAAACTCCATATAAATACATGTATAACATTTAAATTAAACGTGTATGTAAAGGAATCACTTTTTTCTTTTTCAATTTTTAATGTACCAATAATTTTACAAATTTCTTAGTTTGAAATATTGATGTCCCTTAATAAAACACTAAAGTAACAAAAACCAATCGAAACTTTTTAAAACGAAGTTTAATTTTCTAGTTTGACATTAATTAAAAGTTTTATTAACTTTAAGTGCACTGATTAATTTATTACTACCGAGGAAACTAGAGGTGGAGGTTAGTGTTTGTATAAAAAAATATATATATTTTAGCTATTATTCATCGAAAAGTTTGTACTATTTCTTATTAAATCTGTTTTAAAATTTAAACGCTGTATGTAATTTTTAATATACTCGACAGTATTTCACACACCCGTAATGAAAACCATTTTTTGTATACTCAGAGACTGAATATATTAACTGTTTTCCGTAGAAGGAAACTCAAAACATTCAAACGTCGTAGACACAATCTAAGGCATTACGGAAAATATCTTGCACAAATTGAGAAAGACCCTGTTGGCAAATTACATATAATCTTTTTTTTCGTCAAAGCTAATAAGCAGAAATAAGAGATGACATCATTTGCATAATGGGCTGTGCTTTAGCGTTATCTATTCGTTTTTTCAATCACAACCTATAGTCTAGGAGTTGATAGGTCCTTTTTGGTTTTTTTTATTTTTAAATATTTATTTTTAAATTGACTCCTTAAATCTTTAAATAGACATATGTAGTAGTATAGAAATATTTGTGTTATTGTTTTTTATATTATATTACATTTACGTTTAATCAATTTTGAAACCATATTATGTGAATTTAAAATTTTTTTGAAAAAAAATTTAATTAAAAGTACTACAGATAAATCTGCTTTTTAATAATTTCTTTTTATATACAACAAACATATAGAAAGAAAAATTCATATATATTAGTTGTAATTAAATAAAAACTAACAAAATTTGTTGGCTTCTCTTGGTGTAAAACTTGAGCTTCAAAAATGACATTGTTTCTCGAAGTCTATTCTTATTTGGTAGAGAGTATAATCGTAGAGATTTCCTTCACAAAGATTACATTTTATTAATGTAAGATTATGTTGACATTTTCAGTATTATTATTTGAGTTTACTTTAAAAAAACTCCAAGGAGCTTGCGATCTCCATTTGTAGAAATCTTTATAAAACCTTATTGAGATGTTACAGCTTAATTGTACATTATAGCAAAAAATACTATATAATTACTATATTCGGAGTCTTAAAACTATTTTCTTTGTTATTTTCACTGATGATTCTCTAATTTTAGCTTCATATTAAGGCTCAATTTTATTCCGAATCACATAATAAAGGATAACTTGTCAAGAAATATAATAATTGTTACAATATACATATGTATACTATGCTTTAAACTTATCCGTTCATCCAAAATGAAATCTGACTGGACGGAATAAACATTTACATACAGAGTTTAGGATGTAAACCGGATCTATGAACTGGGCCGTGGTGGTTGTGTACACCGGCCTAACAATGCCACCGACTGGGATTTATGATAAAAATAAGAGAATTCAACAAGTTAGTGCACTTTGGGGATTTTTACCTCTATCGATTCTTTTGTAGTGTATTTTTCTTTGTTTTATTATTCGTATTTTTTGCAGAAGAAAAAAATCTATGCTTATAATTGACATATATACAATGTACATACAAAGATACACTGCTTTATTGTTATACAATATAATTGGGATGTAATTGAATTATATGTACACACAAATATATTCGTTAATGAAAATAATGATATCCTTTTTTATTTATGAAAATTACAAAAATACTGATACATTTTTGATAGGTATACTGATAGGTTCTTGACGAAATTATATCAATACTCGTTACTAAAACGAGACGTATTATTTTGAAACCAAAATATCGGAAACGAAAAATTCTCGCGATATAATCAAAAGACCGCATTTGATATTTCGAGGTTAACAATGGATCCTTAACTCCTTTGTTATTGGAGTAAAAATGTCTATTGTTTCGTTTTATATCTCAGATAATGGTAATCTGTCTGTTATCATTAACTTTTGAGAGCACATCATTAGTTTTTCTTTTTTGTCAGTTATTCTAGCTTCCGGTTATATAGGGAGAGAATATATATTTAAGCTAAGCTGAGGAAACTAATTGATTCATTGAAATCTTGATTGCACCAAATACACAAGTTTTGTTATAATAAAAGTAGGGATTTAAAGTAGAATATTGATCAGATAATACATATATGGAAATTAAATAAAACATTATAAACTAATGGTGTATATTATGCATTCTCAAATTTACAAATAAGATTGAAATTATAATGATAAATAAAGTAATATAAAAGTCATTTCGTTTTAAAAATACCTAGACTAGATATTTCATTTTAATCTTTGGCGATTATCTGATAATATTTAGATAGTTTTAATTAATTAATTTTATAACAATAACTTATCAGACAACACCAAAGACTGAATATTAAGAAAAGATAAGATAAAAATCTGTTAAGGAATTTAGGATAAAATTTTCATTTATTTTCTCAATTAAAGGGGGATTATATTCTTCTCTGACATAAAACTTTGAAATATTAAATTCGAAACCAAACTCAATTTAAGATAATGTCAAGAAAGTTAAGGCTCTTGTTCTTCAATATTTATAATTGATTGTTTTCAACACGTAATTAAGAATCTTCAATTTCAAAAAGTTTTTTCGATTCAATAATTTGTTTATACTTTTCTAAGTTCTTTTCATTATTAAAAAAGAACTAACAAGTGTAAAACTACAATATCAACTGATGAAGACTTGTTTTCCGAGTCGGTTTATTGTATGGAATAGTTATATTTTATAATATTAATTGATTAAGTAAACAAGTTTATTTTGTAAATCCAATAGAATTTTCTTTTGTTGTTTCGTATGTGCCACTGCTTAACAAAACGCAAGTCTTATACGTTTATATAGTGGGATAACTAAAGTAAGATTATGTTAGCCATTGTTATTACTAATCTTTCTTTCGACTTTACCAAAGATAACATAATTTACTCAAACAGGTGTTTAAGTCATAATAAATAAATGTCTGATTTCGCATCTCTTTTAAATGAATCTCACACAAGAGGTGTTACAGTTTACTAAATCGTACAAAAGAGGGTTTATATTTTATTTTAATAAATATTATTACAGATCAATGTACATACATATTTGTCAGTTCAAATTTACGATATCCCTACTTGAGATGGAAAATGTACAAACTTTTTTAATATGGATATTTTTTACTTACAGTACTTTTTGCCTTTAGTTACTTTTATTTTCTCATAATTATTTATACATGATACAGTAAGACAGTAAGCATATTAAATATTATTTTGATATAACAAACAAATCATTATCCAAAATGCATTTTGTGTCTTACTATGCTTAAATTATAATGAGAGAAATCAAAATAATATAAACTGTGTTTTGTGAAACAAGATTTTAGTGTTGTTTTAATAAACAACACTAATCTGCACAGTAAATCATCATGACAAATATGAAATTGCGATATTTTGGAAGTTATTGAGTTATCTGTTGTTGAATATGTAAATTGAAGATCATTTTTAAAGGTTTATTAAAATAATGTTAAAATGCAAACAACATTATTTTATACATTATTAAGAACTTATTGTCATACAAATAATAATATATATTTATTTTGACCTAGCTCTACTCCGGCTATTCTTAAAACTAAGTTTTATTTTTATTAAGTAGCAACAGAAATTTGCAAATATTTTAAACTGTTCACATAAATTACATCATATAACCAAGATTGTCATATTCTGACGGTCTTGGATTCTGTCTAGGGTCAGGCGACTGATCTGGTAGCTTTACTGCCGGTTTCCAAACTTCTGTTGGTTGAAATAGTTCCATGCCTCTCTAGAAGTATAAATGAAAACAGTATTTTAAATTTAATCATCCGTACTAATTGCTATAACTCTTAAAACGAGTAAAAATTAATCAAATACGAAAGCTAAATATTATTTGTAAGTCACACTGCGTGACTTTTACTAATCTAGATACGCGCTAAGTAGATGAGGTCACGAAGACGTGGTATATTAAATATTATAAAGTCTTTAATTTTGCAATGTTTTCAATTGAATGATGTTTAAAAATATTTAAATTTCTCAAGATAATACTGAAACTTGTTTTAGATAAAATTGGAAGATACGTATGTAAGTGCAAACAGATTTCACTACAATTGTTCAAGATGACAAGTCTTTAATTTCTTATGTATGTATATGAAAATATTTAATTTAAAGAAAATATTTAATTTTCTTACATATCCTTTATATAAAGCCCAACAAACTCCAACTGGGAAAAACATCAGTGTAGACAGACCAATCCCCCAGCCAAGAAGATCAGCGAAGAGAGGAAATTCGTAGTCTCCGTAAGACGGTGATTCCCATTTGACGAACAAAAATATTAATATACCCTGGTGAAATAATGTGATTAATAATAATTGTTATGTCTTAGCTATGTGTTATAAAAAAATGTGTATATAAAACTTTAAATAAAGAAGTTTGTGGTATTGTTTCTTAATTAACCTTTAATATATATAAAAAAAGTAATAAGTTATTATCTTCATAAAAAAATACATCATTGAACACGACTTAAGGACTAGATTTTCTTTTCTCTAATCACTATGTTACATTCTACAAAAAGCTGAAGTTAAAACTATTAATACTAAATATTTCTTTGCGTTTTTCATTTGAAATAATGACAAAATTTTATACATAACTCGTAACAGATTTATGAAATTAATATAATAAAATCACTTACTAAACTAACAACTGGGACACTGATCAGCCACACAAATTTCCAATAAAATCGTATGACCACATTTAACTTCATGTCCATAGACGCCAAGTCCCGCATCGCTCGGTTGATACCATAGCACCAAGATACGGCGGTACACTGAAGCATTATTAGATAAGTTTCGCTTAACTTACTGCTTTACATAATTTAACATTAGTCTTTGGATATTATTATAATATCAAATTGTTTGTTTATTTCCTACAATATTACTTAAACTTGGAAAAAGGACTAGTGTTCAAAATAACACTATATCATACCAGTTCGACATATTTAAATTTTTCTACAATTAACATAGAATAATTTCGTCCAAATTTTTTTTACAAAAATATTTTTCATAAAGAAACAAACAGACCATCAAGCTTTGTTCTTTATTATAATATACATATATATATAAATTTAATTGAAATGTAAATCACGCAATATTTTCTTACAAACAAAGTTAACAAAATTAAAATTCTGTAAAATGTGTAAATCATAAAATGTAAATAAATTATATTAAGCTCTAGAATAATGTATTTTCTCGCCAAATATACGTCACTCGGGTCTGGAGATACTTGGAGATAAAAATAAATTAATATTCATTGGATCTGTCTAAAAAGATTTGGGAGCAACGGACGGAGTGAAATACTTTAGTAAGAGTTCTTTAAGATTGTCACGAATTATTTGAACGAATTTATATTATAATACAATTTGCTTGAAGCAGATTCAATTTATTCAATTCTAATATTTTTTTACATTTAAATTTATATTACGAATTTTAATTATACTCTCACAAATGTATCAGATTCTTTATGTGTCTGTACGTGTATTTAGACCAATACGAGTATACTTAACTTACCTCAGCTATACCTATAAGTAATATAGCCCAAGAAGCGGTGTTCCAATCGAGCAATGTAAATAGATATACTCCGCCACTGAAACACATTGGAAGACCGAGAATAAAACACGTGAAGCACGTGAATGCAGTTACCTGCAATAAGAAAACATAGTTTGACTGTATATAACGTGATAAATGGTAGAATCTTATTTTTAAGCAAAATCTATTTATGTTTATAGCTATTTCATAAATTAAGCTAGCGAAAAAGAAAATAAAGGTAATTTTATTGACATTTACTGAAATTCAGACTGATAAGTCGATTAAGATTATTATTAATGCAAATTATTTTAAACTGTTTTTACATTAACTAAAAGTTGCTTTTCAATTAATTCCTTCTGATTAAGTTTATTTTGATGAAACTACAAAATATCTTTTATAATTAAAAGTGTTATTTTAAACCAATAAATATTTATGCAATAATGCTTGAAGTTAAATATACATTATTTGTGGTTTGAACGTTATTCTGATTTTATGAAAATAAAACTGGATAAATTATTTGTTCGATATTTTTAGAGACATATATAATTATATATACTATTACTGTATCAGATATTAATATTTTTTCTAAAGATAGCAATAAAAAACATTGTTACCATCCAATAACGTTTCCGAAATTGAGGCCAGCGATCGACTATGGCTGTATTTATAGCCTCAATGCCAGCGAACTGACTTCCTAATCCCAATACGAACAACATGAAGAAAAATAGGATACACCATAAACGAGGTATAGGCATTTGTAGGAGGGCTTCGGGGTAGACTACAAATGCTAACCCAGGACCTTGTTCTGCTACATCTGTTAGAAAATATAATAATAGACGTATTAATTAAAACAAAAATTTAACAGCAAAATTAATATTTATTGGCATTATTTTATGATTGTTTGGTATTTTTAGAAACAATATACAAATTTACACAGGACTAAAAGAATAGTTCAAGAAAACATTTCTAAGAAATTCTTATTAGTTAATAATAAACATTTCGTGTAAGTCATTGATTTAGTTCGTATACAATAACAAAGATCCAATTAATTTTAATGATGTTTTTGTAAATTGATTGAATTCCTAAAATTTTATCGTTATCTAAAGCACGAAGGTTATAAATATTTGTTGACGTTCCTTCTATAGGGCGTGAATTAATGATACTAAAATCTTTTCATACAACATGAAGTAGATACTCAAAAAATAAAATACGTTATTAGCATAATAAGATATAAAATATCCTTTTATAGTTACTTAAACAAATGTAGAACCTTAAGAAAATTATACAGCTTGATTAAAATTTAAAATTATTACTCCAAAACACTAATAAGTATTTATTAATATTTTTACTCCAATAAACATATTTCCGTATATAAATTATATTATTGTGAATGACGGTGAAATATTATGGGACTCCCTGAAGTGCTATGATAACAAGAGATTAAGTTAACAGACAATATTGTTTTATCGCCTTCATATTGTAGTTGAACAGAAAATATTCAATAACATGTAACGAACAGTAAAAAATAATAATATGTATTATTTTATATTACTCCTACTGCCTCCATCTTTAACCAATAATAAGAATTTTATGGCAAATTAGAATATACTAATATATTTATATGTCGTTGATGTTTCTTCAAAATCCATCAAAATTTTTCCAAAATTAACTTAGTCGTTACAAAAAGCTTGTAGTTTTGCTTTATATGAATAAATCTGGTAAAATATGTAAATAAGAATATAATACGTCCTTACTTTTGAATACGTGCTGCAATTGTTTAATACTAAGAAATTTATTTTTAATTTCAATATAAAAATTTCCATACAAAAATATTGAACTTCGTCACAGAGTTAAGAGAGGGAGTTTATTGTTTCGTCAAATTATCTAACTTTATCATTTATCAATGGAAAGGTAAAATGTCACTTGCCTCATTATATTCATCGTAAATTGTTTTGAATGATTTTACAAGAAAATCAATTGTTTTATTGGCTTAGGAAAATGTAATTTTTTAATAATACATATATAATATAAAGTATAATATAAAATAATATAAAGAAAAGAAGTCTTTGACGCATCAGATTAATAGATGTTTCAATCGATGTTTAATGTTATCCAGGTTGATTATGATGTACTGTACGTATGTATGTGTGTGAATTATATAAGTATTAAATAAACCAATCAATTTTTTTCTAAAAACAGAAGGATATGCATAAATTCTGTAGCAGTCTTAGATAACTTGATAACAAAAATTAACTGTTTTTATTTCAAAAATACGGAAAATCCGAAGATTTCTTATTTAAAAAATAAGGAAAAACAATTGAACATTTGATTTCTTTATAAACTAAAGTTTAATATTATAGTTTGTTTTACTAGCGTAAATTAAATTCTGTATCGCAATTCCTTTTATTTAAGTATTCGATATGAAAAGGAATATAATATAACATACCCTTATTGTAATAAAAATGAAATTACAAATATTATTTGTTTCGGGGTTGAACGTTTTGTTTCATTGGATCTAGTTTACTCTTTGTGTTATTCTTACTGTAGCAATACATTCATTTTGCAATACATTCGGAATTGTTGTTTGACTCATTTTTTAAAATTTACTTGACGGTATTTCAACAAGTATTATTGAACTTCTAATACACCTATTAATTTATCACATTTTGATTGTTCTTAGATTGCCTTACCATTGATTCCAACACCCATGAGCTGTGCTTGAAATCCCAAAACAGAGAAGATTGCAAACCCAGCGTATATCGAAGTCATAAAGTTTGTTAAGCTGACAAACACTGCATCGAAGTGACAGTTATTGTGGAAGTTATTATAAGATGCCAAAGTCACCAGAGAGCCGCAAGCAACACCGAATGAATAAAATATCTATTGACAAAAGATATATAGTTAAATTATAAAATTTTAATTCTTGGTCGTATTAACAAATAATTGAATGGAATTATTAATAAACCAACCCCAATCTTTCCCTTTACAGAAAGAAGGAGTGAGTACAAAATATAGATTTAAAGAAAAACTTTATTTTGAGAGAATGATTATCTTAAAAGTTACAAAAGTCACTTAGATGTTTAAGTGAAAAACTTTGGTAAGAAAAATTCGGAATAACCTTCCTTAAACGACGCCATTTATTTTTGAATTCCATTGCTATTCGCACAATTTGTTCTTATTTTAATCTAAATTAGTGTTAAGGTATCTCTTATGTTTTAATACTTAAATGGGGCCAGAGCGTTTTCAATAAATTCTGGGCAGGATTTATGTTCGTCTAGAAAGTTCTTCGAGCTCAAAGTGAATGAATCTTGGCAACAAACTTAAAACTGTACTTTATAAAATGCGTGTAAGATTTTTAATCTTTTAAGTTAAATCTTCTTCGTAAAATATTACTGTAGTTGAATATTTACTCACTGAATGTAAATTCTTTTTGTCGGTACTTTTAAAACAATTTCTGTACAAATTACCTGTGAAGCTGCGTCGCCCCAGACACGAGCTTCTAAAAGTGTTTCCCACTTCGGTGTTAGATAAAACAAGATGCCTTCTCCGGCTCCATCCAATGTAACACCCCGTATAAGAAGCGCTGTCAACATTACATACGGGAACAATGCCGTGAAATACACAACTTTTCCTGCTGACTGCACTCCCTGTTAAATATGGACTGTTAACTTATTTATTATCAATATTACCTTCAATTAATAAACGATAAGTAACTAAACTTACCTTAATAACACATAAGAATGCTATTACCCAACAGAAAAAAAGACATCCTACTAAGTGCCACTGTATACTTCCCCAGTTTTCCCAAGTGGCATCTCCTCTTCCAAGGACTCGTTCGCTGCAAGTCTCATTAAGAATTATATTTTGTATTACGAAAATATATAAACAAAAAACAAACAAACTAATAAAATGCTGAAAACCATCACATTTACATGTAATTGTTAGACGTATGTTACTCTGATGCATGAGCTTTATTTATATTGTTGGATTTACTACGCGATTTTTTATTTTTGACTATAAACTACACACTCCCGACGTTTCGGTTCCTTTACAGTAACCGTGATCACAGGCAGACGAGATGGGAGTGTCTGTCAGTCATTCTTGTTATTTTATCACCTACCGCCATCGTGTAAAAAAAAAATCGCGTAGTAAATCCGAAAATATTACTTACATTGAAATGAGTACTCGCGAAAATCTTAGATCTCATTAATTATTATTTTTTTACTTAAAAATATACATTTTTGTCCTTGGTCTCTTTTCAGTTTATAAATGAAGTTTAAAATTTAATTAAAATTTTTGTAGCTTCCGGATAACTGACCGATAAAAGCAAGGTTATCGTGGATTATTTATTGGTGATATATATTGTAAATCAATGTTTTATTTTTTTACGACTATAATAAATTGTGAACTTTATCATATTCATCAACTGATATAAAATTTGTCTTAATTTTGTAATTGGTAATGTCGTCTTATATTACCAGAGAAACACATAAAATAACAAAAAACTTGAAGTAAATATACTTTGAACTTATAAATAACTAAAACTGAAATAAAAAATTACTCACTTGTAATATTCTTCTGAGGCCAAAGTCCTATTCACATTTCTATACCACGCGATAGTTTCATTTCCCGTCCAGCAACTAGAACCGTCATATGGCTCGAATCCCGTAAGCTGACAAATCTCCCCAATACTGATACATTTTTGTAAATAGTACGTTAAATCTGTGTAGTTTCCTGTGTTATTAACTCTGCATTCACTGTCATATGCACCACTGTAACAATCTATACAAACAAAAAAATATTTATAAGTATTATTTTGAATAAAATTAAAAATAGTTAGGTTACTACGCTAACTTCATAAAAAGTTATTTCTATCAAAAATTATATGCTATGAATTAATATTTCTATCTTTTAGATAACTAACATTTTATTCATATAAATTAACACATTTTAGGACATGAATCAAACTTATTTATCTATATTGAAAAATTCTATCAGCCAATCGACTGTAGAAAGCATGATAAAAAATCAATTACTCATCGATAAACGGTAAACGTAGTTTTATTATTTTATAACATAGCATTTCGCAGAAATCATTTCTATTTCAGTAGTAATTAGTCTACTGATCGGAAATAATGGGCTTACTAATAATCTTACCAAAAATTTTATGCTCATCATATTACAACTTTTATGCTGACGATAATAAAATATAATATGTAATAATCTACACATTTTACGACCATAGTATACTTTAAGTCATGAAATTTATACGACTTTACGTAGGAATTATGACATCTATATGAGAATGATGTCTTCCTTACTGCGACTAAGCATTATTTGAATAGCGAAATCTTATTCTTGATACAAATACTAGGTGTTGACATTAAACACGTTTGTGAAAATACTGAGACAAAAACTTACATAAGGAATTATAATCATTTTCACACGACCCCCATCCTAAGTCGCCACCTATAGACATGAAAGTGTAGAAAATTGTCCATGCTACAATAATCATGTAATATATTGATATCATCGAAATAATCATTAAAGTACAGTAGCCAAGTCCAGTGAAGAATGGACTGATAGCATTAAAAGCTTTAAGAGGTCCCAATGCCGTGAATTGACCAATGTACAATTCCAGATAAAATATTGGAAGTCCAAGGAGAACAAGCATCAGAAAGAATGGTATCAGGAAAGCACCTGCAACATATTAGTGTTTGTTTAGCAAAATTAGGTTAATAAAATAAATTATTAACGAATTATTTTCGGTTTTAGACGTACATATATAAATTAATATATCGTTAGCAATACAGACCACTATATAATAAAAAAAAATACCTGTAAGTTTTTAATAAGTATATATTATACGCTAGGGACAATGTGATATTTATAATTTTACATAAATGTCTAATATTATTTATTTAATCGAACCTTAGTCACAAATTTTATCGATTATACTTTGATATAATATAGTTATATTTTTTTAAGTTACCCTTTCAATATTCATATAATTATTTAATAAATATACAGCTATGTCATGAACTGCATACTAAAACATAAAATAAAATAATTGCATATAAAATTTTTGCAACAGAATAGTTCATTGCATTATTATTATTTTTTTAAAATACTAATCAAATTTCACAACTTTTACCAAAAAGAATAAAATATGTCTCTGTCAATCAAAATATTTAGTACATTAAGAAAATATAACTTTATGCGAGATCAATGAATAAAAACTTAGGTATGTTTTACAAGACAACACCACACATTGGACACACATTGTATGCTTTGTATGCGGATATTCCATTACAGTACTCTCTTTGTCCTCCCTTCTTGTCGCCACCGAGAGTAAATTTCGTTATCATTGCAAAAGAAAATTGTGCAAATATTTTACATACTTTGAAAAACTTGTAATGGAACGTGTGTTATTTGACTTATTCATTTTATTAATTTTAAATTGAAGAATGGATTGTAGCCATTGTTTAATTATAAACTACTCAAAAATGTACTAAAAATATGTTAACTCGTAGTTCTATATGAGGTTTTTATGCTTTTCTTGACATTGAAATTGTTATATAAAGAAAAATGACAATATTTATAAAGTAAAATCATAAACAAGATGCAAAAAGCATGAAATGATTATCACGTATCTGAAGATGTTGATAGAATTATAATCTTTAATTTATCCAAGTTACTATTATAACAAAGTAGTAGACGGGTAGACAATATATTAATTAGTTTTGTTTCATAGTCTATTATTTTTATAAGATAGCTTATATTTCAATTTGTTGTAAATATTTCCAAATTTTATTAATAATAAACCTTTGGAAATGTGAAGCTGAATTAAATAGGGAAAAAAATTAATGAAAAAGTCCCAAATCATACAGGAAAATTATGTGAGTAAACAGCGCATTCAATGCAGTGTGTTTTGTTACTTTGAACTTTCATCAACTTTCTCCTGTTGACGCTGTCAAAGCCAATAGGGGTAACAGCTAGTTAAGTCGGAAACGTAACCTTTGTGTATATTTATTACTTAACCGAGTTTTCGTTAATATTAGATATAAAACTATATATATTATAGTGGTTGTGATATTTATTTTATATAAGTATATCCTGACCATTTAAGGTTGGATTATCAAATCTATATTAAAATCGGTATATTTGATTTAAACTTTTGTAGCACTATAAAATGTTAACCTCCTCCATTCCTGTAACATAGATAAGGGAATCGCCACACATTTCCAAGCCCGACAGCGTATCCCAGACATGCCAATATGAATTCCAGAGGTCGACCCCAAGAAGCTCGCTGCGCAGTTTCAGTATTGTCATCGCCAGTAGCCAAGGCATTACCGTTTTCCTGGATATAAGAATTTTTTTATTTATAAATTTATTTCTACTCTAACTTTATCGTAACCTGAACAAAATCGTGAATATAATATTTCAAATGCGTTTATTTAACTACAATCTATAACAGGTATAACTCGTGGTTTAATCTCAGAACAGAAGTATATTTTTTATATGATATTTATACCGTTGTTGTAAACTTTCATGTACGTATACTTACGCTGAACTTTATTTTAAAGCTATTATACTTTAATACAAGGAGCGTTCCGTTGCCTTGCTTTAGCGCACCGTAGTTGCCTTTGCTCAATTCTTGAAAACTATTTGCGAAACTTTTACCAACAGGAAGTTTTTATAGTATGAAATATTATATAAATTTTTAAATTGTTCAAATCGTCTAGACTTTGTCAAGAGCACTTTGTAATTGTTAAGCGGCTCTTATTAAGGTTTTGTTGCTTTCATATCCCAAAAGTATATGATATTATATTATACGGCAGGATTTTTATTCTCAGTTACATTCAAAACATGGAATATTTTAAAGCATCTTCCAAGGAATAATTTCTGTGAGAAATAATTGATAAATGAAACGCTCATAATGTTCCTCTGTAATGGTTGTACCAACCGTTTATAACAATCTTGTAAAGGAGTGCTCACAAACTTATTCCTTTCAAACAAGTATAATTATTTTAATTTAAATGCAAATTTCTCTTCAATTGCTATGGGCTCAATGACGATGCTTAGTTTAGTTTGCTCTCCCGTTGTTCAAATAATATTATGCAGAACTTAAGAGACAAGAAGCAGCCGACAAATTCAGGTACATCCTGTATTTTACTAATTTAAACGTTTTTAATTTTAATAAATATAATAACTTTAATATTGTAGGTTCATTGCAAACCCTCACAAACTTAAAATAAAAAAGTTAAGGTATAACAAACGACCTAAAATAAAAAATAGTAAGTACGTGAAAAACTATGTTTATGTATAATTAGGATTATTAGCCTTTTGATATTTTATAATATGTTAGGGATTATTAACAATTATTTTGTTACAAATAACTTGATTATAGCATTGACGTATAACACGCTAACATTATTAACGTGGAGTCAATAATGTGAACCACCGTGTAATTCAAAAGTATTTATGTACACAGAACTTCATTTACATACAAACTGTAACTTTGCACCAATTTCTAGGAACATGAATGCACCTGTGTCCGGAACTTGTACCACTAAGTTACAAATTGCTAAAACTTAAATTAAAATAGTGTTTTGTTTCAACTAAACTGTCCAAAAATAAACTTTTAATGTAATTTGAATAGTTGGTATTATTTCTTGCAAAAATGTATAATTAGTGTCTGGAAATATCGTTTGCAAAATTATGTAAAAAGAGATTTTTTTTACAAAAATTTTATCTATTTAAATAAAACAACGAATAATTTCGTAATTGTTTTACGTATTTAATCTTATCTGTTAATTACGTATCTCTGTCATTGATTTAAATCAGATGTTCTGTGTAACATCAAACCTATAAATCAATATATCAGATATATGGTTGTCTTCTACCTTATATATGTATAAGATCTTATCTGTAAGAATATAAAGAAAATAGTTTTAAATTCTAAAAATTATTAAAATAATTATCAATATACAAAAATTATTGAAAGAACACGAGAACCTATAGAAGCTATTTTTCAAATAAAAAATTTATTTCATTCATTCGTCCAAAAAACTTTCCTCGAATTTATTTTCAAATATAATAGAATATAAAATACATAATTTTTATACATATCATCCTTATTTCGTGGTAGTATGGTTCGTGCTATGAAAAAATATATATATTTCTATGATACTGAAAAGTAATCAAGTTAAAAACTAATGTTAAAAAAACCTATGTAAAATATTTCTAGTAAAATTTGATTTAAAACACAAAATATCATAATTTCTATCTTTACAGGAGGGTTTTTCTTATAGGCAGTTGAAACCTAAAACGATCCTTATAATTCACTAAATTAAAATACTTATTTTATGTCAATATTTGTAAATAATTAGATGCCTTGAAATATCTAACATATGTAAAAACAAGTCTATTTTTTTATGTTTGCCCGGTATGTACTCTGTTACTGGAAAGGTGGTAGAAATAAGCGCTAATGGTTAGAAACAAGAGTATATGTCTCGTTTTGGTTTAACTGAAAACATGTCAACCAAGACGTTGATTGTAAAAGTTACTTCAGTTATACCAATTATGTGAAGCAGATAGTCTAGTTAGAAGTTGGTTTCATGAATTAGGTATACAAAGTAGTATACGAATTTTATTATATCAACATTTCATCAAAGATTGTGAGTAGAGTCAAACGGGAAGTATTAGGTAACTGAGGTAACTTTCACCTGAGTGACTCTTGGATTATGATATACAATTATTCTAATTGATTATTACATAACTCATACAAGAAAACCCTAACAATGGCTATACTTAAAGTGCTTATAAAATACTTTAAATAATTTTCACAGTATCAAACTGTGACTACTGATTCTAAAACACGAAAAGTCCTTTTACAATATCATATTCACAGCAGTTTTTTTTTATTTCAAAAATCAAAGGCAGATAATTAAATTATGGTCCTTTTTCATCATCCAATTATTTTTTAAATAATATTTCGTTGAATTTTTAAGGGAAAATATTCACTTATTCATATAAAAACGAATATGTATGGATGCTAACGAATAAAACATTTTTTTCTCATAGTAATGTCGCTGTCGATTGGTTTATCTTGAGTGTTGGTCAAAATACCGTTTAAATTTTTCTGTTCACTTAGCCCCTCAAATTGGAAATCATCGGGTCGGGAGAAAGTAAAAATCTACGTATCGGAGTTTGAAATAAAATTACTCATACGATTACTTCGTAACTCAATATTATACTCGCACAAATAAATTTGTTTTTATTTAATTATACATACGTAAATGTTGCGGTTATCTCTTTTTGATTTTTTTCTTGTTTACCTTTCAGTATTAAACACTTTTTTTCATCTTTCGTTATTATATTTTTCTTTTTTCCAACTTTTCATGTCATATTAAAAGAAGGAGGTCTTGATTCAAAATCTTTTAAATGCACCATTTTATGTAACTATTTTAACCTGACTACTTTATATATTTTAGTCTAAATTAAACCTCTGTCAATAAACCATAACACAAATTAATTTCTTTGAAAAATAAAGGTCTAAACTATCGACTCCTTTGTACTGTTTAATGTTCAATGTTAAAGAAATAATATAAAAACAAAGTTTATTTAATTGATTTGGCTATCCTGAATATTTTAAAATGTATAAAATATTTCTGACTAGCTTCAACAGGATCGGTTGAAATATTACGTGGTTTCATACATTATTCACAAAGTAATTCAATAGATATTAAAAGCATTTTTTTAACCTAATACTCTATTTGATACATATAAAAGTCTACATTACTCAAATTAAACAAATCCCTACTAAGTTGGAACTGGAATAAACAATGTGTAAAGATACTGATTGGTAATATTTTGTCATTAATTTGTTTTTCAGTCCGGCTTTAATCATATGCTCATACTATTTCTTGTAAGAAGCCCCTCCCCATATTTTATGATATTTCCGAAACAACCCTTGATCACAATTTTATCGTAAATGAGTATAATCAGTTATTGCTTTTTCATCTTGGACTAAGGCTTTGTTCCATATTGCTTTATTCAAGAGCCATTTTATATTTTTGAGAATTTAAATCCAATATGCGTTTTATCAAAACTGCTTGAAAGTATGAATTGTTTGCACTTTTTTAAATAAATCAACACCTATTAGTTCATACAATATAGATCTTACAAAGATTTTTCCACTTATAAAATACCACGAGAGACATACTAATCTATGAAAAAAATGTTTTGTACAAATGATATGTTAAAATCGAAATTGGTAATTTTTCGTGTATGTCCTTAGTAAGTTACTCTTCTATCAAAACCGTTCATTCACATAAGGAGTTCTGTTTACACTGATATGGTATAAATATCAAAGTCTCATTATACATAACAACGTGTGACGTCTAACTTATGTAAAAAAGTTTAATAAAGAAGTTCGTAAACATTCCGTTTCAAAAGGTGCTCGTAAAGTATCAATGCAATTCAAAGAATTCTCATCTTAACTCTTGTTATTTCCTTTTCTTGTTTGTGCTAAACGACTGCTATTTAGATACGACCAAATCTCCTGGGCCAAAATATTTAGTCCTGTCTACCCCGCTGGCGAACCTATTTACGTTAACAGTCTTGCGCCCTTATTAACTCTCATAAATAAATGAAATGCAACATAAAATTTTATTCAGACTCATATTAAAATCATGCAACTAAATGATGGAATAATGTCTTGATGAAAATTTAAGAATAATGAAAATGATTAGTCGAAATTATTTCAATGTCTATTTCTATAGACTGAAATTATTTTAATTTTATTTAATTTCACTTTCTTTATTGTATTCAATGCCAATGTATGTAAAAAAATTTTACAATCACAATATCATTATGAAACTATTACATCAACAAAACCGTCAAATTAAACCAGAGAGTGTAAAATTAACCGTAGAGTTCCATATATCTTAGACGTTCAAAGCGGCTGTAGAAACTTAGTTATAAATATGAACTCGTAAGAGCCTGCAGTTAATGATACTAAAGTTAACGACAATCTTAAACTTGGGGGTAAAAGTAAATTAAAAACTTAAGTGAAGATAAATTAAAGCTACTGTTTTTATGGCTTTTGCTTTTACAATTAAAATCAATATTAATGTTATTAATTTTGTATTAATCACATTTTATGTTATAATCGTTAATGGAAAAATGTTTAAAGTCAAAATTGTTTCAAGATATTACCTAATTTGCACAAACCACGAAGATATTAAAACAGATAAATTTTAGGATGTCAATAAGAATAACATGTGAAACATGTGAAAAAACGGTGTTCACACTCTATAAGTTTGACTTACTCTTGTTATCCGAAATTTGTTAGACGCATTATTAATACTTATTTATGAAAATATTGGAGATATACCATTAAACATTTTACGCCTCTTTCAAATATTTTAATTACATATTTAAGAATATTTAATAAGCACAAAATGTTACATCAATTAGGGTTTTGCACTTCATCTTGATTTTTTTTAAAGCGATTCTATATTTTTTTCAAACAAAATGGTGTTTGTTGTTTTACTAAGTAAATATAAGTGTAAATCAACTATATTTTTTGTATATAAAATATTAACTGATAATATTCAAACATTTCGTAAAAAATAACTCATAAAACGCATGTTCAAATAAAAAATATATAAACGAAATATAAAGCATTAAAACCCACCTTACTCATAGCGTTATTTCCACCAGATATTTCAATATGAGGGATATTGAATTAGCACTGTGCATAAAATTATTCCAAATAGGTATCATATGCTCAACTCCTTGAAACTCTTCCTGAAAAATAAACACACGAGTGTTCTGAACAAGACTAACGTATTATCCAAAATGAATGCCAAAACGTTATCAACAAGATTATGATAAATTTGTTACAATCTATTTTTTAAGATAATACATGAATTATTACAATATTAAGCAATAGTCTTTTGATAAGACGATAAATATTCACAATATTTATCCTTTTATCATGCGATCGTTATCAACAATAAATGCACAGTCCAGCAACGTTATATTCGTTCTGTTACATTAACTTCTTAAATTAAATGTGACCGAAGACGACACAATATAAAAATTGTGTATATATGTTTTATTACAAACAGGAATCTCGTTCAGGTCTTTGTTACTAATATTGGAAAAGTACTAAACATTTTCTTGTGATGTTGCAATCTCGATACATGTCCTACATATTTTGTATCTTTAAAAGACAAAATAAGTGTCGTGAACGAGTGTTTCTATGTGATTTTATATTGTAGAAACAAGCTCTGAATATTGAATATGAAACATATATCATTTCTTTCATACAACAAAACTTTTGTAGAATTTAAACTTGTGAACACGCCAACGAAGACTGCCGTCAAGTCGTGACCCTTGAGAGACTACTTAGACTAATATATTTAATACATGTTTTCAAACATTTTATAGTATCGTATTTCATTTACCACTTTTTAAAGTGTTTCTTGTTTTATATTCTTATATTTTTTTTAAACTATAATAATTATGATTCTTAACAAAAATAAAAAGGAGTAAATGTAAAGTTTTTACCATCTTTCTTGACTCTAATTTAGACACTGAAAAATAGAAGACTAATAGATTTACAAAGACAGGAACAGTAAATATATGCATAAATTGTTAACATGGTTTTATGCTACTGACATTGTTTTTGATATTTTCCAAATATTTTATTGCAGTGCTTTTATGGAATTCATGAAAAATTTATTAAAAGGTGAATTTTATTAAAGGCTTTTTAGTTAGAAATTTAATCTGTACGTTATGAAACACGGAACGCCTTTGATGTTAAGTAGGTTGCAAGTTTAATCTATTTTGTCAGGATCTTTAAGCAGACTATTTATTCTGCTCTATAATATTTACAGTTGAATCATTATAATTACAGCGATTGACGACGTATTTTGTAAAAAAAGTCTATGTTTATTCATCGCAAAATAAAACTATTTATATTACTCAAGCAACATAGAGATTCAGAAACCCAGTTCATTAGCCCCGTTATGAAGAATCACTATATCCACATACTAAACAGCGAACCTTTACGCCACTATGGTTGACTTACGGACTAAGGAACCATTTATGTGGTTTGTAAATAGTTTTGATTGAAACCTTCATCTGCCTATTCTGTCAGACTGACAAGGTTTTGACAGCTTTTGTAACTTCTTTAAATGAAAAGCTAATATTTTTCGGATTTTACTTTGCTTTACAGGATTTTTACTGTTACTCTACCACCTATCCAAAGTTATAGATGGTAATTAAGATAGAAATAAGCTGGTAATACCTCTGAGAAAACAATACTTTGATTTAACCCTTATTTTATGGTCTAAAAACGCTGTACAATTTGCAAATAGCTTAAGAACTCAGGAACAGTGTGATCTTATTCAGTTATTTGAAGTATATAGACAACAAGATACCATACTATTTTTTCATTCGATGTTAGAAATTGTGGCTTCAGTAATATCTTCATTAAATTTATGATCAATAGGAATAAAAAATTGATAGATATATACAAACCAGATAAGCCAAGTATCTTAATAACTAGCTACTATGAGATAAATAGGCTCAACATCTCAGGGAAAATCAACCAAGTGGCTATTTCAAATAAAACTGAAGTAGGAAGTAAAACAGTCTTATTCATCTCCATTTAAAAAGCCCTGTTTAGAGCCAAACACACACCAGCATTTATCTGTTTAACTCAGAACATTATTAAGAGTCAACATAATAAATTGCAAAATAAGATAGTTGTCTTTCTTTTCGACTCGTCAAAAATTTTTCAAACACTATTTATTAAAACATTCTTTCTCTTACCTCCTTTAAAAATAATTTTAATCAGCCACTTAACCCACACTTAGGGACAGCACAAAATAGAACTGGAAAGTCCTTTGTTGACCCTTTACCCTTTATTTGAAATTTGCGTAAGAGACCTCATAGAAATAAAGTCCTGTTTACAAAATCGGCACCATCCAAAGATAATCGCTCAAAAAGAATAAAATCTGCATGCTTTTGCGCACGTCCACCCTTTTACTATTTATTTTATTTTATGTTACTATAGCAAAAGGTGAAGCTCTTAGCTACAGGCGAACATTGGTTTATTAAGAATTCACTTTCAGATAATGTCTAAGGACAATTAAAGAAAATTGCATCTAATATACACCATGTTTTTTGGGTCTTATCCATAAAAGTTCATGTTCTAGGTATTTGAAAACACAGCTTGTAATATATGTTGGAATAGATTCCGAAACTTAAGGTTTCAAACAGCATAAAATTAGCATTACTGACGTCGCAAATATCTAGTTCTTGATTTTCGTCAGTTTCTGCCTCCTTTGAATGAAACCTCGTAGATTTTTTGACGTATCCTTAATTTTGAAGAGGTCCGGTCGCTGCAACGGTTCTATTAAGAATATCTTTAATCTGTACCCTCTCCATTTATAACAACCAATACGCGTTGTTGTGACTATACTCGCACAGGTAGCAAGACAAGATTTTATATAGCATTTCATAATTATTAACAACGTAGATAATAAAGGTTTTTGCGCCGTTATATATACATATTTTAGAATCAGAAATAGGTTTGTGTTTCTATTGCTAAAGAAATATCGCCAAAGAATTATTACATGTTTTTAAATGTTAAAGATCATGTAATTGTAAATATCGTTAAAAAACCTACACATCATTACCATTTGAAAGAAGCAACCAAACTATGGCTATAATACATATGATCTTCTGAGAGGTACAGACTGTAAGAGATTATAAGTTGCTTGCCAACATAAGTTGCAATCACGATACTGCTAGGTTTAACAATCTACAACCTTACATATAAAAAAGAAAGTAGATTATAATTTACACTATCAAAATTCTGTGTACTTGTAGAATTATTAATAAGACTTTGATCCGTGCGACCACACATCCATACAAATATAATATTAGTAGGATTGTAAAATAAGATAAGATAAAGATTTTATGACGTGGCAAAAAAATGTTTTTTGACAAATTATATAAAAAAATATTAACTGAGTTAACGGTTTACTGCAGTATGCTAGAAATTTTAGTTGACAACCGTCGCTATTTTTATTAAATAATAGAGAAGTGTTATATTGAAATATGAAAGCAACGATTTTTAATGATAGTCTGAAACAAATTGTGGTCATAATAATAAAAAAAATTGTGGATTTGAAAACAAAATTTAACTGATTATTAACATTACTGGAATTGAAATGAAAATCGTATACTTTTAACAACTTATTAATAACGGCTTATTGAAAATGATTAAATCACTTGTGATGTTAAATACAAAAAAAGGTTATCAATGCATGCATAATTTGATAATATATTTGAAACACTGAAATATTTCTTACATAATTAAAATAAAATTTATTTTAAATAAAATTTAATTTAGATCCAAAAGTTACGAAAAGTCTTTTTTTTTCACGGACTTACTAATGATAATAATGTTGTAGTAAATGAAAAAAAATACCTTTATACGGAACTGAACTAAACAATATTTGGATACTCTAGCTAAAACTCAATTGACCTTATGTCAATGACACACCTCAATGTAATGCCCTTGAAAACCCTGGTTTTTGAAGGAATAACATTAAATCAATTATTTGATCCTACGTCGTTTTTGTAATTTTAAAAAATATATTTACTGTGTTTAAAACCTTATCTGATAATAAATGTCGTAAAATTTGGTCACATTAAAATTTAAGAACATAAGATTAATGTACATATATATCATATAATAATAATCATTCTTCAGTCTTTTTAAAAGATTAAATAATTGTTTTAGTCATTCAGCTGAAAATGAAAATATGGATGGCAAAAATTGGCTTATGTCTAAAAATTAACTTCGAAGATCATAAATCTTTCTTAATAAATTCAATTAAAAGTCTCTTATTTAAATTTCGTTTAATGATCTTAAACGAAGGCAGACAGGGCTAAAGTAAGAATTAACTTACTTCGGGCACTTTATCACTGCCCCGCCAATAACTTGACGATGCATGAAATTTTAACATGGTAGGGCTACTGTTTAGTATACTGACAACTTCAAATACCATTTTTTATATTACATTTGATTCATGTAACAAAAAAATATTTTATGTAATTTGTAAAGATTTGGTGTTTCATGTACATATCAAATTGAGAAATTCATATCTTATGAAGGCCTTAATGTAGTCTTTTCATGTTTCAATCATAACCAAAATAGTTAATTTCAAATACAATTGCCACTCTAAATTAATTTATTCTTGTTTCTTTAAAAATAGATTTCGCTGGGATCAGTGAGGACAAACTTTAATTAAAGACGTAACTAGACAACCAAGAAGTTGTTAATACCGGTATCATAGCATTAGTTGCCTTTGTTTAACAATGAGAATATTATTTTGGCATTTTTATTTCCACAGCCATAAAATTACAATAAAATGATGCAGTAAAATTAAACTTACATGTATTACGATCGATGTGTTCTTAACTGGAAAAAATCAATAAATTGACGATTATAATAAATACATGAAACACTGGATCGTGTAAAACATACTAATAATTGTTTTAATGTGATATTTTTCCTCCTAAATTCGTCACAAATACTTCTTAGGGAGGATACTTTTAGCAGAACTAAAATTAATACCTAAGTAAGTAAATAAATTGATGAAACCCAGCATCATTCCACACCTACGACTATTCTAAAGTATACTAAGTCCTTTAATTTCAATGTGTCTTCATAAACAGTCATAATTTTAAATGTTTTTATTTTATAAGATATTACTTTACTAAATAACAGTCTTTTCAGCATCACTATTGAGAGCCCGCAACCTTCGAAGCTCATGTACCCTAAACAATAATATCTAGGCGTATCGCATTCTGCACAATTCTCGAGGCAACTATCCTATACCTTTTCACCTTTCCCGTACAACAGAATCTGTTTGAACTTGGTTAGATAAATTTAATCAAATTACTGACATAAATAGTGCTTAAAAAAATTAAGTGTATGATTTAAAACGTTGATTATAAATCTTCTTGTAACATTTTTTTCGAGACTTAAGTGTTTCAATATGTTAGTTGTTAGATTTATTCCGAAAAAGTGTTGTGTACTACAATTGTAATATTTTTAAAGGATGGGGCGTAAAGAAAATTAATGCTGTTAATAAAGTAGCAGGTGTGAGTTAAAGCTCTTAAAATGTTTGTAAATGTAATGTTCATATTATATCAAATCGGAGAAGCCATTTCTCTTTATGTTTTCCGTATTTTTGTTGTATTGTTGAAATAATATAATAGATTTATATTTCATTAGTAAAATACTATTTTAGATCTCATTAAATTTAACAATAATGTAAACATATATCCTTAAGCGCTATTATTATGGTCAGGAATAATTTTTAATCTTATAATAAAAATATCTGCGTTATATCTTAAAAGCGTTTCCAAGTAATAACATGATGAGTGTCAAAAATTTATTTGGTACCGTTTATAATCATTGATTTTTAAGTCCGTTACTAATTAATTTCTTTAGTTTATAAATTTTATTGTATCTATTAGATATTAATATTCAAAAATATGTAAATCAAATTAATAACATGATACAAAACATGGTAGGTTTATTTTTGTATCAATTGGTCGTAACGCAACAAAGTATCTAAATAATTGATCAACTGTGATGGACCCTATAATAGGTGACGTCAGAAATGTCTGACACTTATTAAATATAATCAAACACTTCCCACTTAATTCTATTTTTACTTTGAGTTCAGCAAAAATAAGATAAATAATATTAAAGTTTATATTTAGGTCTAAAAGCCAGCTTATGGTCAAAAGTTGTTAAAACTTAAGTAATTAGGGCCGTACAACCACAGCGGTACCGACCATCAAATAATTATAATTTTAATGACTGATAGAATTATTTAAACTTATTTGAGATTTACTAAATGGTAGTGAAACATTATAAATTAAACAAAACTGCCTCATTTGCATTATTTATATTGAAATAACTTTGATGTCACAACATTCACCGGATTGACTAAGAATTTTATATTTGAATTAATTTGTAAATAAGATTCAAATATTTTACCATTTCAAATACAATATTGTTTGTATGGCTGAAAAATACCCTAATTTAACCTTAAAATTGTATAGACTGTTTCTCTAAGCCCGTTTCTTATTTATAAGGCTGTGAATTAAACGCCGTATATACTTTTCAGTATTTTATTTTCATGTTCTAAATTTTCTATACTCCTTGAATAATGATGATAAGATTCTTAATTGAAATTTTGATAATTAATATTATTTTAATGAAAACCTATCAAGAAAATACCATAAAATAAATAAGCGATATAAAATTTTCCTTGTATATTTTTTGTAATGATTATAATTATATAATTTTAAACGTTAAAATAAATTACGTTTTGTAAAATGTGGTATGCCAGGAATTTTTTATTTAAATACTTTATCTCGCCTATAAAGTAATATAAAAGATGATAAGTAAATAAACCTGTCTAATATATCTTCACTCTGAAGTGCAATTATGTTGTCACTTAAAGACTTAAGTTGATGACTATAAAACTACCTCTCTAATTATTATAATTCCGTAAATTGTTCATAAAATGATTAAATAATAATGTCCATAAAGATACTGTTGGACTCGTGTTTTTAAATTTAATATTTCATATTAGTGGACCGGTTTTTATATCATTAAAATTTATTTGTACCTTTATAATAAAAGAGATATAGGTATACAACACAAATACAAGCGGTTATTTTAATTAAAAGAAATTTGTTTAAATTAGTTTTCTTAGAACATTTGACAGAGTTTACTATACAGTATAATTATATGTATTATGCAAAGTCAATAGTGTAATCAAACATAAAATTTTATTGTCTATTATTGAAAACGTCTTACCGTATTATTTCTAAGAAAATTCCTCCAAATCGCTGTCCATTTTCCAATCCAGACAGTTGAACAGACATGGACGTTGAAAAAGATGGGACTGAAAATTATAGACATAGCAATTTGTTGCAGAAAGTAATTCGATCCTAATATTATTAAGTTTTGCTACTAAATTGTTATTTTAGATTTATATCAGTTATATTTAAACCAAATCATATTACCAATCCAAAAGTGGAGCAAGATCAATTGGTATATAATTTTTTTTCTCTTTTGAATAAATTATCCGGAACCAATTTTGATCATATTTTCCAATAATAGAACTATCATATTACCATGTAGATTATAATTTATCCTTTCGTGTCACTTATTTTGCACACTAATGCATCATAGCAACTGTATATAATATTAAATTACGTGACGCAGAATATAAATGTCTTGAGGGTTAGTTGACAACAAATAAATTGTACACATATTGCAAATTTCTCTGTGAACATAATACCGAAAGCATCTTAGACGGAGTCGCAGACAAAGAATAGTAAAGTATAAATTAAACTTCAATTTAATTAATATTTTAAGTGTTGATAAATATTTTAATGTAACTAAATCACCTCACCTTTTATAAAATAGAACGTGTTCAAAATCTTGTTTGTTTTGTTTGTAAAGTAATGTATAATCACACATTATGTTCTTTATTTGCAATCCCGAAAGTGTCTGAGAAAATTTATGCTCAAAAAAGTAAAGTCAAACCTTTAACAAATCCATGAAAATGTTGAACATTTCTTCGTGGTTTCTGGGCACTCTATTCTTCGAAGTGTTTCGACAAATTAAAAAAAATGACACTACCTTAACTAATGATGCTAAAGTTTTTCAGCGTAATGAATAAAATACAAATAAGCTTACATAAAAGATTATTTTATGATCATGACTTGTTTTATTTCTATATAAGACGAAAAATCAATAGCGTAAATATAAAATTGATTAATTTACCACGACATTGCGTGATTTCGTACCGTTTTTTTTCAAAGATCATAATCACAAAATGAGATGTTACTTATTCATACAAAGGGCTCAGTCAAATAAGTCATGGTGAATATAGTTGACAACTCAATTCAACGTATCCAATATTAAACCAGTCTGATAAGAGTTGTGATACTTTTAAAAGAATATATTTATAATTTTTTTTCTTTCTCAGCTACATTACACCTATTATACTCTAATAGTAAACTATTTTCCGACAATGCTTACGACAGAATATTGTTTTGGATATTATTACAGTAATTTGGTAAATAACAAATAATTGTAGTATAACAGTATACATTAAATAACATTTATGTCAACAAAATAAATGGTTACCAGTAGATAAGGAGTTTTGAAAGTAAACTATGATTTTATTTATTAAAAAAAATAATGTCTTTAATTATCATCAATCCGACGGTGAGTGATATAGTGATATAGGATAGTGGGAAAATCCCATTAAAAATCTATCCAGTCTTTTCTTGAAAACATTGAGAGTAGAAGTGAAAGAAAGTCCAAGTTTTCGCTATAGGCACGAGGAAGAAAAAATTTACTGCTCTGTCCAGATAAAAAGAAAATAGACGACGAGGTTTGTTTGCACGCCTCCATCGAATAGATCATCTGGTGCTTCAAAAGAGGATATAAATTGCACATTTCTAGCGGTCATCCTTTAATATATGAAAAATAACATGAAGCTTCTAGTTTATGCGAACTGACTAAATTGGTTTTAACCAATAACTCCCTTCAATGTCTTTTGCTCAATGTCTCTGTGGAGTTTAAATAAGTGAAATGACATTTGATCGCACCTACTGGGATGAAGAAATTATCCCGTTAAAATTACTGCCCCGTATCCCATATAAAATACTGCCTTGCTTCTGTAAGTTGCTTGAGGGCTACTCTAAGCTTGTAATCAATGAACTACTGAAAGACGACATTGAAATTGACTTAGTTTATATCAGAATTCAAAAGGAAATCGACTCGCGGAGACGAACTATTGAAAGAGTACAAAGTTTGTTCCAAACCAACTATGTCGTTTACGAAACGAAGGTGAAAAATGTGCTTGCCATGTATGTTTATAACCATAATTTTATTTTCATAAGCACAAAGTCACTTAAACGTGCAAAATTTATACAAAACAAGTCTGGGAAGAATACATTTTAATAG